TGCGTGTGCGTGTGCGTGTGTGTGTGTGTGTGTGTGTGTGTGTGTGTGTACGTGCGTGTGTTTGTTTGTGTGTGCGTGTGTGTGTGTTTGGTTGGGTTTCTTGGATATATGTATGCCAGTATGCGTGATCATGAGAGTTATTGTATGGCTGTGTTTCATTGCACATGTACGTTCGTGTGGGTGGGTGTGTATAGCTACGTGATTTTCATTGTACATGTGTGTGGGTATGGGTGTGAGTGTATGGTTGTATGTGTCTGGTTATTATATGCGTGCTTGGGTGGGTGTGAAGGTATGGATGTGTGTGTGTAAGTTTGGTTGTACAATATGCATGTGTGCGTGCGTGCGTGCGTGCGTGCATGCGCGTGTGGGAGTGTATGGCTGAACGTTAGATTTAACGTGTGTGTGCGTGCGTGCGTGTGAATTTGGTTGCGTGGCGTCCGTGTCTCGGTGTGAGTTTATGGCTGTGTGTGTGTTGTATCACTGTCGCGCCATGTATATGCAATGTCTCTAAATATAAATTCACACTCGCACTCGGTGTTGATCGATACCCATGATCTACTACCCGTGATCAATAAACAGCCACCAGTAAGTAATGCAAGTTCCCCCGGTACGCGCGCACGGTGGGACTAGCACGCATACGTGAACGCCGTGTCTAGAGATGCTCTTGATGTTTGCTCTCTCTATTAGGTCTCTTATCGAGGTCTCCCATCGCACCCCCGCACCGCTCCCGTATTATATAGCGGGGCATCACCTGAGCCTCACCACCGCATTGCATGCATTGCATGCGCGCGACGCGTAGTCGTTAAATAATGAAAACTCAATCGAGGTAAATTGCGGTCTCGTGTTCGCGAGGCACGCGCGCTTCCGTCGAATTATTGGGTTGCTGCGGCGGCGGTGCGGCGCGCTCCCGCAGACACGGCGTAGAGTGCTCACGCGGCACGCTGTACCCGACGGTGTGTGCGCGCGCGCGCGCGTGTGTGTGTGTGTGTGTGCGCGCGCGTGCGTGCGTGCGTGCGTGCGTGCGTGCGTGCGTGTGTGTGCGTGCGTGCGTGCGCGAGCGTGCGTGCGTTTGTGTGTGTGTGTGTGTGTGCGTGTGTGCGTTTGTGCGTGTGTGCGTCTGTGCGTTTGTGCGTGTGTGTGTGCGTGTGTGCGAGCGTGGCATGCGTGCGTGCGTGCGTGTGTGCGTGTGTGTGTGTGCGTGCGTGCGTACGTGCGTGCGTGCGTGTGTGTGTATGCACCTGCATGCGTGTGCGTCTGCGTGTGTGTGTGTGTGTGTGTGTGTGTGTGTGTGTGTGTGTGTGTCTGTGTGCCTACGTGCGTGTGCGCGCGCATATATGCTAGGATAGAAACACTACATGCCTGTATGTGTTTTCGCCAGGCTGAAGTGAATAGGCTACAGGGCCTGCTAGAATCCTCTGAGCTGAGCAACCACCGCCTCCCCAAGCGAACATCTGACGAGCAGTCCCACCGCCGCACATCTGCAGAACTACTGAGGTAAGCACTAGGTCTGTTTACTCATCCTGTCTCACCGTCACTTCCCTACAAAGCTCCTACCTACACTTCCTCTTCACGTGAGCAATAACCACTGTGCCAGTACAGTTGACGCACAACTGAGCAGACATGGATGAAGTGTCAGCTCAGCTACTGCAACACACTGTGAAAGTATGCCAGCCTAAAATGACAACTGATCGGTTATTTACCGACATTTACTGATCGGTAAAATTATTTATTGATCAGCACACATCAAAACTACAATAATTGATGACTCTTTTTGTTTGTTATTGACCAATTTATTTATTTATTAGTCGATTGGCTGATCTTCACGTGTATCACCGCATAAGCTAGTTGCCATGTACGGGTATGTGCTAGTGCAGGTGCGCGCAGAATATCACCTTGTCTGCTGCACAGCATAATTAATGATGAGTCATGCACAACATATAACACTGATCGTGACAGTGTACATGAGTATTCCTGTGTTTACCTTCTAGATACAAGTCTTTGCCATCGTTATCCTGCGTAGAAACCTCATTTATCGGCAAGCCAGAGCACGACCGACATAGGAGCCCACCAGGGGGCGACTCACATAGGAGCCCACCAGGGGGCGTCCAGCATCGTCGCCCACCTCGTGAACATATCGCCGTGACCCCAAGCATCGCTTCGACGGTTCCTCGTCAGGGCGGAAAAACCACGCAGTCCCATCAGGTGGCGCCGGTGCTCGACGAAAGCTCGCCACCCGCACGACGGAACTGCGACTCGAGCGTTGGGGCGATTCGTCCGGTCTCGAGCCTCGCTCACTCGTCGGACCACGTGCAGATCAACTACAGGTTGAGGTCTTTCGGTGATCTCACCAACTGCAGTCGCCGTGACAACGAGACAGACCTCGCGATGACCTGTAAAGAAAATGTGCCGCAGAGCCACCTGGTGGTGGCCAGCAAACACAGCATGCTCGATGGTAAGGAATGAGGGGAGCGCGCCGTCGCGGCGCGACGGTTCGAGATCGGGACAGATTTTTTGTTGTTTTACAGGGAGGTCATAGACTCACAAACCCGGTACTAGACAGTCATGCTGTAGCTATTATTTCATCATGGTGAAAATAATTGGAATCGTTGTTGCTACTTATAGGCAATGAGTGGGTCTCTATTGACCGTTTAGTGCATTGGGAGGGGCGGGGGGCAAGATGAACATTGAGGTAATTCCAAGCATTCAATGCGGTAATTCGTATAGGCCCATCAGCATCGTCGTCAGAGGCACAGTAACCGGCCGTAGTTTTTGCAGCTAAATATGCCGATGAATTGCATATTTAAACTTAAAATCTGGCTATATATTTTAAGGTTGAGTGTTTATACTTGTGTCTATACATGTATAGCTAGCACGCAAATATTGCTCCGACTTGCGTTTATTCATAAGTTTTGGCCTAGTAAGTATCACTACTAATTTACTAGTGAGATGAATGTTTGTTTTGTTTTGTTTATTTGAAAACAGCATTTCATTTTTGCTGCTCTTTTTTTGTCTGGTGTGGTGTCACAGTTGTTGTTTAAATAAATTGTTAAAGTATAATGTGGTATATGCCCACACAGCGAAATGTCACGGTTCACATGCAGTTAGACAGTTAGATGTCTCAATCAAAATTCAGTTGAAAATGATCAGAATCCATGTAACTCCATCACTAGTTTTTGATACATTAGTGTGATTGAGTAGATTGAATTTCTGTATGTAAAGTTATGATAGTCCATCCTATCTTGATTGAATCTTTGCCAATATGGGATAGCAACAGGTTAATTAAACACTGGGCTATGTATGTAGCTGGGTTAGTTATTAAAACTGCCAGTGAGTGTGCGAGCATAATTGCATGTGGGTGTGTGCGTGTGTTTGCATGCATGTGTGCACGTGTGTGCGTGCGTGCATGCCTTTGTGTGCGTGCATGCTTGCAGAGGCATGTGTGTGATTTGCGTATCTCCCTGCCGCTTTCATTTTCTTGTAAACGAGCTGTGACTAATGATTGATAGTGAGAACCCGTTTGCACGATAATTTCTAACTCTTGATTCTCTGTTTATTAACTCTTGGAATTCAAATCTTGACTGGTAGTGTAGCAGTTCTGGCTGATGCACTTGCTCTGGCTTTTGGACACCCGTCAAAGCTGGCAGCATCACTACATAGAGGCGGGCTAGGTTTTTATTATTTTTAGGTTTTTAGCTATTTTTGTGTTATACACATCATCAAGAGTTGAAACCCATACGCACCATAGTATTCCTAGTCCTTATTGTAGAATAATTTCTTTGTCGTTCTAAGCTTGGTTCTCTATTGGGAGATTTCTTAGTTGATGTTTTTTCTATAGGGCATCCAGTTTCTTGGCCTCGTTAGTTGTTTTGATAGGCAAGATTCATGTCTGGGTCACAGACACGATTATAAATAGATATTTACTGGTACAGCTCTTATTAATTTGTAGATTAGAATTAAAGTGGCAGTGCAATGGAGGAATATCATTGTCCAATCTCCTTTGCTGTAGCCTCGGTCACTAACATTTCCTGCCTCTTGCCCACAGATTTAGACGCGCCCCTTTTTGGTGGCTACGACTCTGATTCGTCGACAGCTGGGGCAGCCCAACGCTCCCTGGAGCTCAGCCAATCACTGCACAAGCACTGTCTTGACCTTGAGGGGGAGGAAGACGACAGCAGTGATGATGAGAAGGGGGATGGGCAGGCAGCATCACCTACCCGCCCGCTGTCACAACAGAAACAGGTGTGAGATGGTTGTTAGCATGCTGCGAGAGGATGGATTGATGTAGGATCAGAGATGGAGTGATGTTGGGTTAGATATGGTGTGATGTAGGACGTGACATGGACTTTAGCATAAACAAATGCAGGAAATTGACAAGTGTTGTTTTGTCGTTATATAGCAAGCAAAACATGTGCTTGACATATGTACTTTTAACCCCAGCACAAATAGATAGGTCACATATCAGGTGAGCAACGTTTTCTCAGTTGGTGTATTCCCACTAGCATATCAGGGAGAACTCTTGCAATATACGCTCCCCAGTCCATCTCTCACGACTTCTCTTCATGCTACCCATGTGTTCATTTTCTAGGCTAGGCACTTGAACGTTGATGCGGCGCAACTGGAGAGGGTGCTACACCAAGGTAATTCCTCACTGGCTTGTTGTGTTTTTCGCGTGGGGTAATAGAGTACACGTGCTTGCCACACCGCACACTACGAGTCACCGTATGTATTACCATTATGAGTGATTCAGCTTCATAATAGCTTCCCTCTACCGTGATCAGGAGTGTATAATATAGAGTCTGACCTGCTCGAAACACAAGAAATTCAACATTTCCATGCCCTAGTTTACCTATGATTTATTACGTGAATCTCAATAACATCAGAAGTAGCGCTGAACATCCAACTTGCCCTCACACTTTACCTTGTATTGATACTTTTCTTATTGTGTAGTTATAGCTTCGAACGTCAGACATGGTTTTAGTCGTTCACTTAGTCAAGCGGCAGGCATTCCCAGTTGATGCAAGTAAACAATTGGCAGCTCACATTGAGTTGACGGGGTTCGGCAGGGATTTGCAACTCACAATCAGTAGCGGGCTCTGCATGGCCGCTGGCTCTGACCCACGCCACGGCTGCAAGTGCAGATAAAGAGATGTCGTGTGACGTACGGTTATATAAAATAATTCGTAATAAGAAGCTTTCGTTTTGGCGACATTTTGGAAGTTTTTACAACGTGATCTCGCGAGAATTTGCCAGTTGCAAATCCCTGATAGAAACAAGTCCCGCTCTGCTATGAATAATCATGATGTTGTTTTGTTTCAGTGCGCGGTGCGAGCGTTGAAGCAGAGGGCGCCGGTATAGACTCGCCGGCGGACAGGGCTCATCATGACTTGCAGCAGTGTAAGTGGTCACCGTCGATCACCGTGAAAACATTATTCACACAATTTAATTAACAGTTAAACAAATTAACACAAAGATCATTCACGAGCGTTCTCGCCAGCAGGATAATTATTCCAGTTTTATTAATTGTAGTGTCCTTATTAATGTTATTATATATGTATATATGTATTATAGTAAGCGGTCATATCGTTTGTAAAGCTGCAATACTTGCGATTTAAATTACATGTACGTGCTAGTTGGCATTTCGTGCC